CATCTGATACATTATTCCTATATTTTGTCACCTCAACGTTTTTGCTGTTTTGGATGATCTCGGACTTCGCCTGGTCACCAGGACGGTAGATAATTGCATCATAGCACTGCAAGACGACCTCGGCTTGACTTACGAGTCGTCATCTCAGAACACGATTTGGGTTAACGCTGCCAACTGTAAACTATTAAGGGTATGATACTAACAAACCTGCGAATATCGCCTAAGAGAACACCTTTTTACTGCACACTTCACAGGAAAGGATTTTCGAAATACTCGCACAGGACAATCTCGACGCTCAAGACAGACAGAAAAGACAGCCCGAATTACTAGATAATAATTAGACCCCTTACAAAAGGCATTTGGCTGGGTTGATCCTACCATCTTTCGCAAATTCTCAACGTTTGAATATGGCCAAGTGTGAAATACACCATCTAGATGTGGCTCACTTGACAACAACATGATATGGCTGCTCTTGAGACTGCACTACGAAGAGCGACTAAAGTGCTGTGAGCTAATTTTAGCTTATCGACTAAGTTACGCTGAGGACCATGGGAGCTCTTAGTGGACAAGTTCGTCCTCCGTGCGGTTACTACATTAGTTTGTCAGATCATCAAGGATCCAATCCATACATGCCGACACTAATAGAAATTCAACCACACCATACTGAAAGGCTAACAATTAAAGTCACTCACACAGCATAGCCGAGTAGAACTTTACCAGAGCTTTTTAGCCCATTGTGTATCTGTCATCTCCGCTCCTACATCTATATGTCGGTAGTATCTTCCATCGAACAAGAATTGTTTGTTGAATGTGCAGCGCGGGAGTAGCTCTTTCACCCCTTGGATATGAATACCTGCCTGTTGGGCACTGGCAAATGAAGTTGACAGTCCTCAGCGATGAAACGTTCGTAAAAAGACTATCAACTTCATTTGCGAGTGAGAGCAGACAACAAGACAGCTATTTTGTATGCCTATCCAAGGGGTGAAAGAGCTACTCCCGCGCTGCACATTCAACAAACAATTCTTGTTCGATGGAAGATATTACCGACCAATAGAGGGAGTTGCGATGGGGTCTTCTTTAGAACCAATCCTTGCAGATTTCTTTCTTGCGCAAATTCAGCGCGGCCCACTCCGGAGCTTTATCGCGTCTCTTCATTCCTATTGGCGATAGATGGACGATGCATTCATCGTAGGCGACTCCCAAATTGACCACGCGCAGATACTTGACCCGTTTAGCAGTGCGCATTCATCGTTAAAATTCACTTGTGGGATAGAAAACGATAGTCGAATCCCGTTTTTGGATGTCACTATGGCGGCGAGCTGATGGGTCGCTTGAGAAGAGGGTCTTTCGGAAGACGACATGGGTTGGCCAGTATACGCACTTTCTTAGTTATTTGCCAATGAACTACAAGCGAAATCTCGTGCGCTGTTTGGACTTTTGGGCCGCAAGAATCTGCAACCCAGAAACGTTAGACGCTGAGAAGGATTTCATTCACGCGACGCTACAAGCTAATGGGTATTCCGCTTCGTTTATCAACAGACATTCTGCCTTTTGTGTTCACTCTAAAACAATACCAACTGTTATAAAGGGACGTGTTCCTTTCGGTTCCTTTCAAGAAGGATATTCCCTACGAGTTACTGAACACAAGACTGCCGACCACAGTTATCCAAACATATCCGGCTGCTAGAGTACACATTCTTGCCCAGACAGTTCCGCTCATCACCAAAAGCCTCAAAGACAGAATCCCGGCTCGTTCCGAATCATTTGTGTTATGTCAATTCACTTGCACCTGTGGTACAAGGTACATCGGGCACACGACCAGGTGTCAGTTCAAGAGGAAAGCGGAACACTGCCCTGTCTCTGTACAGCATGGCACGTTAGAATGTCCACAGAGCTATCCTCGAGCATCTGCCTGCTACTGGGCATCAGATTCGGACAGAAGACGGATTCAAGGTGGTCTGCACTGTGTCGAGACGCGTTCCCAAAGTACTCAGGAAACGCCTGCTGGCCACTGCCGAAGTAAGGACGATTAGGCTATTAAAACCTGAATTATGCTAACCAAGGATGCTAATACAAGCTCTCTGTTTGCCCTGGCCGTGACCAAGATTCTTTCCGTATCTGACAATAATCCCTGTCAAACTGTGAGTTTTGTTCCTCATCAGCCCCTGCGTCCCCGCTTTCATTGGTTGTCTATATTTGTATACGCAAGACACGGTGTCGTAACTTCCACCACCTGACCTCAATGACCTAACTATCGATTGGCTTCACTGACAATATTTGAATTGCCATCTAACTACTATTACGCGAACTCTAGTTAGCTTCCTCGTTTGCTTATTCTTGTTCATAAATGTAAATGCCTGACGGGAATTATCGAAAAGAGATATCTCCTCGCAAGTCTGCTTGTGCACTTCAGTTTTTTATACTTAGCCGTCATAGTTAACTTGTAGATTTACGTTGGGTAGGACAAACAGAAATCTTACATAAACCCAAAAAATAAATGTATTTGTTTAATGCGGCTGATGTAGCGTGTATTTTCATCTAGGAAATCTGGCTTGAGGATGAAGCACGTGGCACAACTTAAACTCATCTATTTCCAAGTTACATCGTTTGTGCCCCTAAATGAACGATTTAAAAAAGTCACATTGACGGCACTCTGTTCCCTTTGTATTACGTGACATAATAATACGAGTCAAACTGTGTGTTCACTACCCGTCTCTGTGATGTAGCGATGGGGAAATCTGCGTCCGTGTTTATGCGTGTAGCTTAGTGAAGCACCTGGAATCCAAACTTTCCCAATTTTCACTCACGTTTGGCTTTGTATACCTCACTCTGGCCATCCTACTTGACTTGTCAAGTATTTGCTTTTCTATCCGTTATAAGTTATTTTTAGATGTGATTTATTCAAAGTTATTGACGCTTACCGTGCACTTTGTCTGACCTGTCATTGCCTTGCACCACTCCAGAGCTGGCATGGAACACGCTCGAATATTGTCCACACGAGCCAGGGCGAATCGTCGGGTTGAGGCACTTTCGTACGTTGGAACCAAATAATTATGTAGTCTGTAGTACGGAAGTAGAATAAAGACCAGGAAAAGTATGTCTTCTATCCGTATTATCCACAGATGTACATCGGTTGACAACCAGAGTATGGTTTGACATTCGGATACTAAATCAGGTTAGAGACTTTAACCAGTATCACGCTTATGATTCAAAAGTCTGACACATGAAATTGCGACTGTCCTATTATTCTCTGAAGTTCACCTACCGGTGTCTCAGTGTTGATCCTGCTCAAAATCTTTGACCAATAGCCTTCGCCTGAAACCCCCTGACAAGCATATCTCCATATAACAATTATTTAAGGCGTCGGTATTAAGAGAGCTTTCTCAATACCCCACCAGTAACATTGGTTCGTTTTGCTAAGTAATGTTACGTACCATTCAGCGTCCTGCGCTGTCTGGGGTTATTGCGAACTCTTGATCAATAGCTTAATTGAAGTTGACAAAAACGAACCACTGTCTTCAAGCACTCCCTATCCATACGCACTGGTCTTTTACTAGACTTGGTGATATCCTCTCCACCGAACTCGCTATGGCCTAAGGATGGAGATGGCGATTCGTTAATTTGGTTGTGTACAATGACGAAGCTAACTGGTAAGCAACGGAACTTCGAGTCATCACTTCTTACTCACTTGGCACAAGCATTCTACCGCATGAGTGGTTCTTTGATCCAACAAACTTGGTAAACTCCTATCATCCCTCCCATGGACTGTTCTCTGGTTAAGGTGCATGCTTTCTGAGTTTTCGATTATAGGACGATAGCTATTGTGTGAAACAGCTGTTACTTTCTAGGCAGAAATAGTCGGTGCCGAAAGTGGAATTTAGCATATAGTGTATGACAGATGACATCTTGATGAATAAGCCAGTGCGATCCACTTGGCATAACGGCTAGGAACTCAATGTTACATTTATCATCAGGTTGACCATCTGCTTACAAGTTAGGCCTCCTCCCTGTTTTGAACACATCGCTTAGAATAAGTATCGTTGACTTTCTTTAACCCAGGATTCTGACACCTGGTCTTCCAGATATTGTTTTGACCGTTCGTATTTTTCTATCCGTAAGGTAACAAGGCGTTTTCGATTTGATGATGTGGTCTTCTTGTTGCTATGACTTTTGCGACCGCAGAATATCAACGGCGTATTGTTGTCATAGCATTCAAACAAGTACGATGTTTGACGGTCTTTTGCAGTGCGTTCGGCTTGGTCAACCGCCTTAAGCTTCGAAATATCATTCATTTCTTTGGCCAGAAAAATCGCTGTCAAACATATTTGGTAAACTCGACTCTTTAGTAAGTTACGTTTGTCGATACTTTACTACCGAGTCAGTTATCGCGGTAGCACGTAGACAACAGAAAACCGACTGCGTGCAGCATGCTTTTATCGGTTTCACGATATGATATTGTGAAACTGATCCTGGAGGTAAAGAGAGCGATTACAAGCAAATTGGTCATTTTTTATAAAGTCTAACCTTAATTGGTAAATTCTGCGCAGCAACTGGTTAATTTATTGACTGGAGAGAAGACTACCACTATTACTACTGTCACTAGTAATACTACTGCTACTCACAGATTTTCGGTAGTAAATGTTCTCCAGTAGACTTCATTAACGCTAGTTTGCACCTTTCTGCTGCTTGCCATACTGAACGGATTCTGCAACGCTTAATATGGCTGACCTTTTGGAGGTTATTGTGTTGTTATCTGCGAGACACTTTGAAGTGAAGTACTTACTTGAAATGCGCTAACTGCAGCGCCAACTGGATGAACGAATCCGGGCTCATATTTACTGTTTTTGGAAACTCTCTTCCGTATTCATTGTACCGGAGGATATATAGATCAAGGTCTTCGGCAAGCCTGAAAATGAAAAATGGTAAACAGCTTGTACATCAAAAATCAACACAATCTGTGTAACTTAGTATCTAGTTGATGTTTCGAATTCTGCTGTGGTATCGCCTTCAAATGGGCTTACGCTTCTACACTTGTCACATGCTTTACTCTAGGACATGTCTCCTTAGTTATACCTGCTTGAAGGAATCCTATTTTGTAGCTTAAAGCTTTAAATTCTTTCAGCATCAAAACTGTCCACTTCGGTTAAATTCCATTGTTTGCGAGGGGCGAGATTTACTTAATAGCATACCGCGCTCCCAATTGAGAATGTGTGTCCCAGTCAAACCTACGGCTGATATTCTAAGACTCAACAAGATTGTTATCATTATTTCGTCTGTGACAGCCACAGTGGTGTTATATCCGTAGCACTTTAGGATACTTTACAGACAGAGAGTATACACTGCTTACACAACTTGATTTATATGTCAACCTAACGATAAAATCTGTGTCAAGGGACGCACATGACAGCTTTTATTTCTGCTTCCAAACTGACTTATGGCGATGCGCAGTCTTCTTGACAAGTGATAAATCAAGATATGTTCTTTTTGTGGTTATGCTTGCTCTTTATCAAGTCATTCTGACCCCCAGCGAGTTAATTCGATATACTTACCGCGGTATTCTGGGTGGCCGAATCACAGAGACAAGAAATGAAGCATTAGAAGTATTGTAGGAAAGTCTCAGGTTCTGCGTGGACTAAGCGAGTCCCGAAGAACGTACTGACCATTCAAGGATTTTCAGTTCTGTGAAGCTACTTGGTCAAGTGCAGCTACGATGAATCTCCTTCAAGAAACAGCTGTGCCAGCAATTTTGGTAGATCTGTTTAATTGTTCGATTTACAAGACATTTTTGTTTCCATTCGACTCACATCGGGACACCTACACCGAGGGTATGAATGTCCTCCGTCCACCGTAGCACGCGCTTTCGTTCCCAATCTAAAGGTGGCATTTTAGCTATGTAGCGCAAGCTTTTCAAAGCTAAGACCCATCAAGGGCCGAACAGCCCACATTCGTTGTCATGGGACTGGCACACGACAGCACGGTTGGCGGCATGCGGTTCCGGATTTGTCTGCCATTGTGGCCTCCACGATAACAGCCACAGAACATTTGCACATACAAAGTGACCATGGGTGGCTTGCGCTGCGCCACCCACAGCTTCATCCACACATCCCAAATCCGGTTCAAACCCGAAGAAATAAGGCCGGGGCATGTGTTTGGGAGCCACGTTTCATCAACGGAGCCGAACAACGATCCTTCAACAAGCAGAGCAGAAGCGCTCATGCCTAATTGGGAAACCATGCATACCAGACGTACATAAGGTGGTGACTGTGCTTATCCCGTTCCACACTGGATACATGGACCCACTCATTGTCTAGCACGGTCACAAGCACCGTTCTCCCCGTCCACCCTAGTAACGACCAACTGTCTCCTGGAGCCAGTACAGGTGATGTGATGGGTAGCAGACGGGTAGGTACATTATCAACATTCACATCAAGCGCAGCCATACCGAGGATATCAATCAACAGTCAACAACTAAAATGCAAGAATCTCAACTCGCAGGCACACGCACTGAACAACTGCAATGCCGATGAGACACACTTGCCACATGAACCGTCTTACTGACCTGGGTTAGTAAACTGAATTAGAAGCAGCGAAATTACCAAACGCCGCGCTGACGAAGACAACACATTTAGCACGTTTGTCTTCTCTTTGATGTTAGCCCAACGTGGCGACGCTGGTGGCTTACCAAACCCGTTTGGCTGAGGCACTGGCGGCCGCATGTGCTACAGCTCAATGTACTCGACGTCGTTGGGCTATCTCCCATCGACGCCTGTCGCTTTCTCAACCGACTTTTCTTTTCCTTATGCGTTAGTGATTTCTCTTGCACCAGAGCAACCGCCCGCTTTTTATGCTCTCTCCATGCAAGCCGATAAACAGCCTTAGATTCCCAAAACAATTCAATATTAGAACGTGAAAGACTCATTTTGATCATATGTTAGTAACGTAAATTCGGTTTTCTTGCGCGCAGCTTCCCTGCACGTAATTTTCCATAAAGCAACCGTTTCGGTTTCCGGGTCGAATCCGTGACGAATATAGGCGAGCCATCTCAGGTGCCTCAGCACAAGTATACAGTCCACTGCATACATGCCACTGCGTCGGAGCACCTCCGTGTCTGCAACTTTGTCACTCCAGCCGATGTGCATAATTCGTCGCAGACACTGTAGTTGAAATCGCTCCGGATAACGGACATCATTCAGGAAAACCGTCCAGGTTTTGCTGCGCTATAGAAGAACGGACAGCGCTATTTATATGTATACCAGCAGCTTCGTCCCGACAGTGCGCTGTTGGTTGTTCCACACAAGGCATTCCTGCTTGCGAAAAGCAGTAGACGCCTTCGATACGCGGCTGCGCAGCTCTTTCGTCATCTGCAAGTCGGTTGCTTTTATATTCCCAAGGTAGGAAATCTCAGAGTGGTTTCATACACTTCATCGGTAACCTAGATTTGGGGCAGGCTCACGGATTCCATTCCGGGTGAAGGCTGGAAAAGACAGTTTTGCTTGCTTTTACAGTGAGCCCAAAGATGGTCGCTGTCGAAGCCAGTGCACTAGTCATGTGCTGCAACATCCGCGTTGTGCTCAAACAACGCACAGTCGTGAGCGAACAGTAGCATACAGATAGTTGTCTCCAGTGGCGTGGCAACAACTTTTGCCACCCGGGGCGGACGTATAATGGCCGCTCCCTGGCAGTTTCAAATCCGTAAACCCAAACAATTGCGGACAGACATTATACATTTGGATTCATATGAAAACAACGATCAACTTTAAAGCACTGCTGTAAATACCGGTATTTGTGTTGTTACAATGCTCGTCAGAAAAATTTACAGATACATTTATCGTGCATTACTTGGGGCAATAGTATCGATAACATCAAGAAGTTTCAGTCCATTAGCGAATTCTTTCTCTATGGAGAGAAGTGCCAATCCGTGAGCTTTGCCTGGTTACTTGATGAATGCAAATAGTTCCTACTAAGCTTCAGTTTTGAGAATGCACTCTCACAGTTGGCTGTGCTAATAGTTCGACTGAGAAAGATGCGCAGCAAATTCCAAATGTGATATTACTGTGTAAAGTACAAAAGTTTAGGCGATCCATCAAGCCTGTCGCTACATAAATCTCTTACAAAACGCTGCAATCTTCTTATTTCGACAAGGGATTAATAAGTTCTATATCTTCCATAACTTCGCTGAGAGAAAAACCATGCTTATTATCAAGCAGATTTAACGATGGAAGAAAAGCAAATTCGTTTACAAGCTCATGAATTTGCTGAAATCTGTAGCATTTTATCAGTCAAATTGTCCATGGCAGACAACATTTTCCGTTTTAACTACTCGCCATATCATCGATATATCAAACCTTTCTTCTCCGTTCATTCATTCTTTCAGCAGATTCGACACTCCATGCTTACCCCCAACTCGGCGTAATGTTTACTTAATCCCTCAATTGCTATGTCAACCATTTGCTCTTAATTCTGAAAAAGGAAAGCTGTTAACTTTGTAAGCTTTCTAGAATTTTGCCGCAGTTTCAGCCCTTTTGTTTAGACATTTCTATGCATTCTTCATTTATATAAGAAATCTTCAAAGGCTCATAAACGAAATAAACGGTAACGGCCATATAGAGGTACGAATTAAAGATGCATCTGATCTTGTGGTTGCATTTTCTCATTAATCTGAACTGTTTTGGAGAACTGACGTGATCCGAGTATTTCTTCACCACAACATTTACAGTGCCATTTCGACTACTCAATCTAAATTTTACAGTCACTTTATACTTATACCGGTGACTTCACCCGGCTTATCCTCTCAATTTGGTTGCATGCATCCGGAGACGCCGATGTGGCACTCACGGGTCAAGCTGGTGTAGGTATCATTCTAAGCTCCAAGGCTGAGCCATCGTTGGTTGATTGGATTCCGGTGAACAGGCGTTTATGTGCAGCCAGTTTGACATCAGCTAAGGTTGATTCACGAAGTAGTACAAAACGCTGTTTGTTCGTGATTTCCGCTTATGCTCCCACCGACTGCAGTTCAGATAGTGTCAAGGACACATTCTATGACGAACTGAACGCCCTACTATGCAGTGATACTAGTTCAGATATTACAGTATTTGCAGGGGATATGAACGCCCAAGTAGGGTTTCTGAGCTCTTCAGAAGCTCAGCTGGGTGGTAATTGTGGACTTAACTCCGAACGGACTGACAATGGTGAGCGTCTGCTGTAATTGTGTGCGGAGCACCAGTTGTTAGTAGCACTGTTTTTAGACAGGCGTCGAAATGCCACTTGGCGTCCTCCTGTGGCTGGCCAGAGATGGACCAAAATTGACCACATAGCCTTAAGTTACAGATGACGTGGTTCCATGCTGGAATGACGCTCATACTGGAATACCTGCGCCCACTCTGATCATGTCTTGGTACGCTATCGTTTCTCCATGAACTTTACCGTGAGGCGCACCAAGCGTCTCCTCCGGTTGGCAAGGGAGAAATTATCTCAGTCCTCGGTAAGGCAAGCCTATCAAGACGCACTGCATACCGAAGTTTCGCTGCCTTGTCCTAATGGCACAGAGCTTTAGTGGAATAGAATCTTGGATGCCATGCACGACGCAGGAGCATCTGCTTGTTGCACTATCAATGGTCACCGCACCAGTCACTGGATATTCGAGAGGTCGGTGAACCTGTTGGAATTCAGAAGAAATCTCTTGGCTTGCTCTGTGCACTATGTGATCAGACGGGCTATTAGGCGCGAACAAAAGTGGTGACAACGTGCTGACAAAGAAACCTGGTGGACCAGTAGGACTCAACAAATGGAAGAGACACGAGCAGTAGACCATTACCGCAAGCTCTACCAGCTGATCCACACCACTAGTCTCAGGAAACCAGGCGTCGGTAAGACACTCAGAGACACCGCAGGTGCACTGATACACAA